TATATTCTCACCTAAAAACATAGCAGGAGGTTTTATTTTTGCTATCACCCAAATTCTTCTGGTTCATATCAGAGTACATCTTTTAAGTAAATTAAAAATAAATTATTGAATAAAATTCATTGCAAAAATATACAAAAGATAGGAAGGTATCATTTCCCCTTACACTTAAGGACAATCATTTTTTAATATCCAGACTTTTATTTGTGTACCCAAAGCCACTGGAACTGTGTCTACCCACAGCCAATGTCATACTCGCTGGTGGAAGTTGAAAGCTTTCCTTCTGACCAGGAATAAGACAGGATGCATGCCCACTGTTAGTGTTTCCATATGAGGTGTCCTCCAACGACTCATGGATTGAAGGCTGGGTCCCCAATGCAGCAATATTTAGAAGTGGGGCTCTTGGGAAACGATGGTATCATGAGGGCTCCGACCTCCTCAGTAGATTAATCATTAGAAGGAATTATTGGAAACTGTAGGAACTGGGACCCGGTTGAAGAAAATGTCCCTGGCATGTGCCTCTGTGGACTGTCTCTCGTACATGGCCTCTTTCTCTCTTTCTCTGTTTCCTGGATGCCCTGATCCAGGGGTGATGATTTCCATTCTTCCAAGATGTTCTGCCTCATCTTAGACCAAAAGTTATGGAAGAATAACACAACAGAATAGTATTCATTCATAAAGAAGAATGAAATCCTGAAATTTGCAGCAAAATGGTTGGAACTGAAGCGTAAGAAAAACTCAGAAAGACAAATACCATGTGTTGTCTCTCATATATGGAAGCTACCATGATCACAGTACAGTATAGTGACGTCTATGCAATGACTCACAGAAATTTCCCCCAATGTTCTTACGTAGGACACTTAAAAATCACAAAGCTATTCAAAGGCCCAACAGCAGGTAAATGGGTGAGCTCACAGTAGTGTGTATATGCAATGGAATATTACTCTGTCATTAAAAGGAAGGAACGGCTGAGGAACTCAAGTTCTCGGATGAATCTCAGAAATATAATGAGTGAAAATAGAAATAATGAGGACACACTGTTTGAGTCCATTTGAAAATCTAAAGAAAGCCAACTTCTTACAGAGTGACAGAAAGCAGATTGATAACTCCTAAAACTAGGGATGAAGAGAGAAGCTGGTGGAATAAGACAATAGTTTTTTGTTGTTGTTGTTTTTTTGGCGGGGGGCAGGGAGGTGAGGTACTGGAGATAACTCAGGGGTGCTTAACCACTAAGCTACATCCCCAGCCCTTTTATTTTTTATTTTGTGACAGAGTCTTGATAAGTTGTTTAGGGTCTCACTAAGTTGCTGAAGCGGGTCTCAAACCTTTGATCCTCCTGTCTCAGACTCCCAAGTGCTGGGATCACAGGCGTGCACCACCACATCGGACAAAAGGGAGGAGTTTGATGAGAACAAAATGTTGTATATCTTCATTGCTGATGCGTGCAAATGGGAGAACAAATTAATCAACTGCACACTCAAAACTGATTCATTTTATTGTGTATAATTGTGTGTAATATAATTGTACATAAATTTATATTATTTTTAATTTTTAAGATGGATTTCAAAATTTGACTACGCTTCTCCCTTCATAACACTGGTTAAGATCTTTAAGGCAGAGATTCATAAAACGTGTTGGTGAGATTTATTTCACGTTTGACTTATTTTTACAGTTTGATTCATACAAAGCCACAAAGACCCCAAATAGACAAAATGATATGTAAAAAAGCAATTTTAAGCCGGAGGCATCACAATACCTGACCTTAAATAGACACCACTCTAGTGAAAAAAATATCATGATACTGGTCTAAAAACTGACATATTGACCAAATGAACAGAACAAAGAGCCCAGAAGTAAATCTGTACAGTTATAGTCAACAGATTTCCATCCAAAGTGTGGAGAACACACAACGGGGAATGGTAAGTCTTCGATAAACGGGCGCTGAAAAAGCTGGATTCACATTGCAGAAGAAATAAGCAAAGTGAATGTTTGTCTCTTACCATATCCATTACCTTAGTCTAGAAAAGGATTTAATTGATAAAACCCCAAAAGCATGTGCAACAAAAGCAATATTCAACAAAAAAGAACATCAAACTAAAAAGCTTCCTCATGACACAGAAAACCATCAACAGAATGAACACAACCCACAGAATAGGAGAATATACTTGCAAACTATATATCTGCTAAAGGGTCAATGTCCAAAATATATAAACAGCAAACACAGTAGAAAAAGTAACACAGAGACAAACTTAACAATGGGCCCTGTGGACAGCGGGAAATCAATCTTTGCTTTGAACACTGGCCTCAGACAGCTAGACTGCCCTTTAGGATTTCTAGCAGTGCTGAAAGACACGCCCATTTGCAGGTAGCTGCTGTTAATGAGGCAGATTCTGTGCCTGGCATGGGATTTATGGGTCCAATAGCTTTGAATTCAGATGCTGCTGCCCTGGAGTGAAAGAAATATGGGCTTAACAGCCTCAAGGCACCGGTTTTCCTAAGCAAGAAGATATTGTGCAAATACAGAAGCCCCATTAGCCTGATCCTGCAGCCTCTGTTTACCTTGCAGAATGCTTTCTGACAATAAATCCCTTTGATGTGCTTCCCTTTAAATAAAGGATTTGCAAGCTTTTTCCTTTGTTAGACCTTCAATTCATCAGGTCTGACCCCCCCCCAAACCCATGCCCCTCATTTGAAACTATTTTCTATGTCTTTTGTCTTTATTTCTAAATATTTCTTCAAACTTTAATATCCCAGGCAGTGCACCCCACATTCACTTTACTAATCCCTGGCTGCACAGGACATAGCACGAGGTCCTAAACCAGAGTAGATAGTTCTCAAAAGAAGACATGAAAAGGCTGATGGGTATGGGGTGTGTGTGCCTAACATCACTAATTCTCAAGGAAATTCAAATCAAAACCATAATGAGATCACATCTCTCCAGTTAGAAGGGCCATTAGAAACAAAGGAAAGACAAGTGTTGGTGAGGAGGTGGAGCAAAGAGATCTCCTATATGCTGTTGGTGGGAATGCAAATTATTATGAAAAATAGTAAAAACTTCCTCAATAAATTAAACAGAATACCCACATGTG